GGCATCTATGTGTGTCTTTCTGGTGCGGATGCATATCCAGATAGGCTTGTGTGGGCTGTGCTCATGGTGTGCTTGAGCAGATGTGTGGAGCTGCTGGGATCCTAGGTGCTGTGTATATGGGAGTGGTGTGGGGGTGTGCTGAGGGTCTTGGGAGTAGAGGCGGCTCCCTCCCTCCTCTGCTCACCTGGTGACCTTCTTCCCCAGATAAGGACTGTGGTGAGGCCACTGGGCAAGCAAAGGCCACCTCTTGCTCCCTCCACAGACCTGTGGCTGCTCGGGTCTGTGGCCACAGTTGCCACCAGAGGCTACGGTTGGATGGGTGAGCCTGGGGCCAGGGCTCATGTGACACCCCTCACTGCCTGGCCTCCTCCCCTCCCCACAGCAGGAGCAGCAGCAGGAAAGGTTGGCGGAGGGGGGCTATTTTGGGAGCATCTCCTTAGCAACAGCTGCCACTGCCGTCTGTGGCGGTTTTTCTATAGGTGCTAAAATATTCCACCCTGGTGACTGAGTGCTGGGCGGTGGGTGAGGATGGGGATTGAGGGTGGGAGAGACCCCTATGGTCTTCCATCCCAAGGGCTGGCATGCTGGCATGGATGCTGGCCTGCTGGGCCCCCAACAGCCCTTTCCCCACTCTGGACCTCTTCAATTGGAGCTGTCAGGACTGTGGTGCTTTGAGGCAGGCCAGCTGTGTTCTGATCTGGTTTCTCATCTAAACAGCTGGGTGGCCTCAGTTTGCATCATCTGTAGAATAGGCTGGCTAGACTCTCAGAAACATTCTAACCGCCCCCCAACCCTCTGGGATCAGTAATTCTGGTATTTCTAAGTGCACCCCAAGTCCCAACTGTTGCCACCTGTCATCCCCTCCACCCTTCATCCTTCCCAGCTCTCTGCACAGGCTTTTGAGGCTACTGTGGGACCCAGGAGGCCTGAGCAGGCTCCCAGAGTGGGTGGGGTTAGCAAGCTCTCTGCCAACCTGGCAGACCCTTCTATAGAACCTAGGTAGGTGCCGAACCCAGTTCCAGTCCTGGCTTCTGCATTTGCTTATTCCCACTGAGCCAAGGCAGGCCACGTCCTCTCTGTACCCAGGAAGTGAGAGTCCCAAGTCCATGCCTCTGCCTCACAGAGTTGTGAGAGTCAGGAGATAAAATAGGGGCTGCAGCACAATGAATGGACAGATGGACACACTTCGGCAGAACGGCCATTCTTCCGGACAGTTGACCCTGGCACTGAAGCTGTGCGTTCAACACAATGCGGTGCCTCAGTCTCCAGGCTGGAAGCTTACCTGAAGCAGAGAGTTCTTGTAGAGACCTGGAACAGTGCTGGACTGAAGGGAGGAGTCTGGAGCCTGCCCCATCCGTCCCACCCTGTCAAGGCTACCCTGACAAGTCAGGCTTTTATATTGGATGAAAACAAGTCAATTTGCTCACAGGGCTGGAGAAGCCGGTCCATTCCAGACGAGGCCTCTGAAGTTGGTCCCAAAAAGATAAACAACTTACCAAGGAACACACAGGTGCTAACATAAGCCATTCTCTTTTCTTTCCCCAAGACCCTTACACACACACACACACACACACACACACACACACACACACACACACACTGGCAGGCATCCCACCTATCATATCAAACTGGGCATAAGCTACTGGGCCATGCCATGGTCTGTGACAAGGTCTTTCAATCATTCTCAAAACAATTGCTCAAAATGGGGAGGTGTCTTTTTTTTTTTTTTTGGTTTTTCGAGACAGGGTTTTTCTGTGGTTTTGGAGCCTGTCCTGGAACTAGCTCTGTAGACCAGGCTGGTCTTGAACTCAGAGATCCGCCTGCCTCTGCCTCCCAAGTGCTGGGATTAAAGGCGTGCGCCACCACCGCCCAGCATGGGGAGGTGTCTTAATGCTTCCCATTTAACATGGGAGAAAACAAGACCCAGGGTGAAGAGACCACCTGTCCAGGGTCACGTGGGTGTTTATTTGATGGTGGAAGGAGGACTCTATTTCCTGGGGTCCCCGGATCTCTTATTACCTAGCTCCAGCCCTGCAGCCTTCCGGGGACTCAGCATTGCCCTATAGTGCAGCCCAAGTCCATCCAGGGAGCTCCATCCCTCCCTCAGACTTTTGCCTGGTGACCTGGTGAGGGACACAAAGCCTGCAAGAGCAGCTGTGGTAGATCTAGCTACCTCTGATTCTGTGTACCCCTCCTGTCTACCCTTTCTCCTGCACTCACCACTCCCAGGGCAGCCAGCCACCAGGGGAGGAAACTGCAGGTCACTAGATGTCCCTCCCTCCGTCCTGCCCTGACACTTTCAGTTCACACAGAGGTATAGTAGATACCAGGCATCCATCAGCTGCTAAGTGAACACTTATTTTTCTGGAGGGCAGGAGTCAATGCATACACACACACACACACACACACACACACACACACCAGGGAGCATCAGTAGTCCTGGCTATCTGCCTGAGGGCACAGCAGGGTAAGGAGGGAGATTGGCAAAGAGAACAGACACTGTGCACAGCGAAGGTCCACAGTGCTGAGGATGGCACCTGCGGGACAGCCATGAGCACCTGCTGCCAGCACCCACCTACCTTCAATGGCCTGTTAGCGCTCACAGTTTGTGGATAGGTTAAACAGAATCTCACTAAAGGTTATTACAGCTTCTAAGTGCTCCCCAAGCCAGGTTGGTCTGATTTCCAAAGTTATCCAATAAGAACCATACTTGCGCCTGCCTTAAGGGCTGGTAATAGCTGGGTCCCCAGGGCTAGCCAACTGAATGAATGGGTGCTGGATTGCTTGTGTCTTGGGAAGTGGTGCTGAGGCTCTAAAGGCAAAGAAGACTGAGGGGATTTCAGGCAGGAGGAGCACAGGACACAGCCAGAGAGAGGTGTGAAGGCATCTGGTACGTTATGGAATCCGTGGGAATAAGAGGACTTGTGAATATATGGTGTGCTGGAGCCTGACAGCGTACCATACTGAGACAGGGAGAGCCCACAGTGAAGAGATGGTTGTGTGGCCTATGTAGCCGTAGTCTTGTCCTGGAAGGTCTGCTTGGCAGAGGAGGCCAAAGAGGTTGGCTACTCAGTCAGTTCTCCACAAGCTTGTTGTGGCCCCGACTCAGCTCTTCCTTCCTACTCTGGACCTAGTCCTCCATGGCCAGACTCCAGCAGGTTCAGCTGGCTATCTACCTGCAATTGATCCAGACTCCTAAGTAAGGGGTGCTTTCCTCTTACTTTTCCTTAGGAGGCTAGATCAAGGTGGCACATGCTCAGCAAAGTGGCTGGTTGGCTCCCCGGGGACTGGGTGGTGCTTCCAGAGTGTGGGTCCCAGATCTGGGCTCTCTGGAGGTGGTTGGGGGAGGAGGGTCTGAATCCTCTTCTATCAAGACAGCAGAATAAGGGCTGGAAAGCTGGCTCCATCGAGGTTTGCTGCTCTTGCAGAGGACCCAAGTTAAGTTCCCAGCACCCATATGCCAGCCCACACCTGCCTATAGTTCTAGTTCCAGGGCATCTGACAACCTCTCCTGGCATTTACAAGCACCTGCACAAGCGTAGTGCACAGACACACACACACTCACACAGGCACCTGCACACACGTGGTGCACACACACACACACAGGCACCTGCACACACGTGGTGCACACACACACAGGCACCTGCACACACGTGGTGCACACACACACAGGCACCTGCACACACGTGGCGCACATACATACACACACACACACACACATAGGCGCACGCACACACATAAATAAAAAAAGGAAAGAACTTAAGATGAAGAAGAAAACAGGGACTAGGGTTTGTTTGACTTCTACCCCACTGGATGACCTTTTGCGAACTTAAGGACCTCTATGGGTCCTCAGTCTCTGTACTGGAGCCTTACTGACTAGGTGACTATTAGGCTCCCTCCAAAAGAGCGACCTCTATCTCCACAACTGGGGATGCTTAGGGCCCTTAATTGATAGCGCTTCGGGAGGGAATACAGACCTCCCAGGAGAGGGTCAGGACCACCTGGACCCTAACTGGACCGGTTCCCACCTACCCTCTCCTGGGCTCGGAGAACCTTTCCCACCTACCCCTGGGGGGACTCGCAAACCCAGGAGCGGATCCTTGGAACGGATTCCTGGAGGAGCGCAGCAGAGCGAGCAGGAAAACCCGGGAAGGATCCGGGCGAGAACGGGACGGCGCAGCCCCCAAGACCCCTGCCCGAGTCGACGGTCCCGGGAGCGAGTGGCCTGCCCGCGTGGGCTGGGCGCACCCGGAGGGCCAGGGCGGGGTCTGCCTGGGGTTGGAAGCCGGGGCGCGCGGCCTCCGCAGCGGGGTGCGGGTCACGTGTGAGGAGGGGCGAAAGTCTCCGAAGCGGGGCGCGTGCTGCGAGTTGGGAGTTCTCGGCGCGCCGCGGGCGGCGGGAGCTCGGGCTCCCGGGCGAGCCGGGGACGCGGCGGGGACCGGGTCCCAGACGGAGGGGGAGGCGGCGGGAGTGGGAGGGACGGCAACAGAGAAGGACACAGCCGGCCGATTCGCTGGGCGAGACTGGGCCGGGGCAGAGATCAGAGAGCAGCGACGAGGTCCACAACCCTGCGGGAGGAGAGGCGGGACTGAGACGCTGCGGCGGGGACCGTGCAGCAGGCGCGAGGTGGCCACAGAACTCGGCGACCCCAGGGAGAGGGTCGCGGGACTGTGGGTAACAGCAGGCGGCGGGGCGCCCTGGGCCCCGGGACCCCACAACCTAAGCCCGGGCTTCATGATGCTGCCGCCCGGGCAGCGCTCAGCTCTTGGCGCGGGGCAGCGCTGAAAGTTGCGCAGGAAGCGGTGCGGTACGGCGCGGAGACCCCGCAACCCACGGCGGCCGCCCGGGTCAGCGGCGACATCGCGGGCAGGCGGCGCCCGAGCCCCGCGCCCCGCGCCCCCGGACGCCGCCCGCCGGACTTCGCCGGGGGATGTAGCGGCCACTCGCTGCCCAAACCCTTCTCGGATCTTTCGCCCCAGGGTAAGCTCGGGCTGGCTTGTCGCGAGCGCTGTCAATCCATGAGTCCTTCCCACTGTCTATCTAGCCGAGGGAGTGTCTGTTTGTCCTGCTACTCTGGCCATAACCCACCCTACACTCATCTCTCTGACCCCGGTCCTGAAAGGTCCCCGTGTGGTCCTGTGACTTCTCCGAGCTGGCGTGCTCTGTCCACTTGGCCGTCTGAGCATCGCCTATGGTTTGCAGCTGGCAAAAGAAAGGAGTTGGATGAAAGAGATTTTGACCTCCTGTCCTAGCGATGGCCCTTCTCTGCCCCCGCCCACCTCCGTGCCAGGAGCTGAGAGGCAAGTGACTAGCAGCAAGATGGGAAGGGGATGTCTCTATTTCCCACCTCCCACCTGCAGTCTCTGAATGGCTCTCACTCAGTATGACAGAAATTTCCCTTCTGCTGTGTTGAGTACCTGCCTTGTGTCGAATGACCCTAGGTTAGTTGAGGGGTTTACAGTGGTGGAAACTGAGGCTTCAGGGAGAGGAGGGAATAGGGAAAGCACAGCAGTGAGTGATACCTTGAGCTCCAGGCAGGGAGAACTCCCCCCCACACACACACCACACACCTGCAGAATGTCCCTTAACCAGGGTCAGCCTATTGCTACTCTTACATACACACAAGCTATGCAGGGGATCCAGACTTCAGGGCAGGGAGAGGTAGCCCAGAGAAGCGGGCAGCAGTGCCCTCTAGGCACCAGGAAGCAGGGTGACTGGCCTTCACTGACAGACAGGGCCTTAGGAGCAGGAGAGTGCCAAGTGGTAGGTTGAAGGAGCTGGGAGCCTGAGGGGGTGTCTGGCCTCTGACAGAGAGGACCTGGACCCAGGGATGCATTGCATTCTCCACCCCCATCCCCCATCCAGTCCTGCACCTTCCAGGACTTCTAGGGACCCTAGAGCCCTGCATAGGCTTGACTTGGCTTCTGATGAGAGGAACAAATGGGGAAGCAGAACAGTCAGGGCAAGTGACTGCAGACTGCATGCAACATGGTAGGAGCAACAGCTGCTTGACCATGGGGCTGCAGACTGGAGGGTTGAATCTGGAGCATTTAGTTCTATTCTCCCTTTGGAAGAAGGGTCTCTTTCTGGAGTTTTCCATACTGGGCATCATGCCTCATTTATCACTCGGTCTAGGCTTCGGAAATGAGCCCAGCTAGCTGAGAAACTAGCATACTGGGCAGGTTATGCTCCCCGAGCTTCTGCCAACACAACTGTGGAATGGGGACCCCAGACCTGCCCCACTGACCTCCAGTGGAGGGCCCTGAGCTCTGTGAGCAGAGCACTGGTGGGCTGGAGAAAAGGCTGGGCAGGTGGGAGCAAGGACTCGATCTACTTTGAGGGAAAATAAGTAGCTACGGAGTGGCAAGAATATGGTTGGAAATATAGACTGGCAATAATAGAGGTGTCTAGGCATTAGAGGGGGGACTTGGAACTTGGGAGCTGTACCTAATGATCCCTTGTGTCACCCTTGAAGAAACAACTCCCGGGGGAGGGGAATAAAAACATAGAGGTGACTGGTCAGATGGAAATGTCCGTGGGCTTCTGCTGGGGTGACCTTGGGCAGTTGGCTTCACTTCTCTGATCTCAGTTTGTACAAGTGGAAAATGGGAGGGTAGCCCTGGCTTCATTGAGATGTCAATGTCTTGCACGAAGTGTTAGAATCCTGAGAAGAGCATGCGAAGAAAGCCAAAGCTTGCAGGTTCTCAAGAGACATTTGTGGATCGGAGGACAAAGTCACTCTGGGATGCTGTGGGAAGATTCGGGGCTTAGGATGAGAGGGAGGGGGAGGAGGAACTGTGTGGGCTCACACAGGGCGGGCTGGTTCTTAATGTGGATATGGGGGAGGCGGGGGCGAGCGCTAAGGGGGGTGTGAGGAGGAGGGGGCCCCTCTGCGGGGACCACTGAGTCACGAGGACATGTAAGCGACATGACAACCAGCAACATGGTAACCAGGAAACTAGCAGTGGGAATGGAGCTGGAGCAGTGTGTCGGGGTGGGGGAGGGTGGACTGGCAGCACCCAGGCTTGGAGGGTCCCTGGTGGGTTAGGCTGGCTGGCCCGCAGGGGATGCAGGCCAGGGAAGGCTAGGAAAGAATGGGGTGTAGGCGGAGGCAGAGGAGACACCCAGGGGGTCTGCTGAGCAGGGGGGCTTCTTTGGTACCTCCCCAGGCTCCTCTTCTCCTCCACATCTCCACTTCTCATGCCTCTCCCCCTAGGATGCCAAATTTGGCTCACGCAATCTGTCGTCTCTCTTCTGAGATTGGCACGGGGACGAAAGCCGAGTGCATTACATCAGCGCCTGATCCCCCTGCACTGGGGGAGGGAGGGGAAGGACCAAGGACCGGGCCAGGCTGGGAGCAGAAGGGCAGCAGCCAGACTTCAACTTTCTTGTCTGTTTCTTGTTTGCTCTTCTTACCCTAATCTTAGATGTAGGGGGGCATATAGGGGAGGCCATGCAGAACCTTGAGGTGGTACAAGGACTCCAATCCTGGGGCGGTCCCATGACTGGGGCAAGAAGTCATGCCCTGGCTAGGAGAGGCCTGAGAGTTCTCAGGACCCCACGTGCCATTGCCTGGCCATGTGACCTTGGACAGATTCCCCTGTATAGAATCCACATCTGTATAGTGATTGTTGGCCACTTGTAGTATTGGCGATCCCTCCCCCCGCCTCCCCCTTCCCCCACCCAGAGGAGGTGCCCTCTGTCACTTTGATATTCCAGGACCCCAGGAGGGATCCTGTGACCTTGAACATCAGCTTCCCTCCTTGTGCCTCTGTCTCCTCACCTGTGAAATGGGAATGGTGGAATGTTTAAGGTGACCACTTGGGCTCTGGGCAGGAGTTGTAGTTCAGGAGAGAGAGCAGGGACCTGGCTCCAAAGCCACAGATATGTGCGAACCCTATGCCATCCCACATGATGGCCAGAGGTGGGGGAGCCGCCAGCCTCACCACCATGAGGACAGGTGGCGTGGGAGGACTGTTTCATGCACGCAGAGGCTTGGTGCTTATATCATTGGTCTGACGCTGTAATTCTGCAAAAGTGAAAACCGGTCCTGTGGCCACAGTGATGACCCCTCGTGGAAGCAGGCAGACAAGAGCCAGGCAGATCTGGAGCCCCAAAGGCCAAGCTCTGGCTCTGGCCCCTCCTCTTCCTTTCCTGCCACCCTGCCCATCTCCACCATCAAGGACTTTGCTCTGATCCTTTACTTGTATGTGAGGGATTCCTTTAGCACTAATCTTAGGTTGTCCCTGTGAGGGACAAGCTGGATTTAGGGTTAAGCTAAAAGGTTATGGTCCATTCTAGAATATTCCATTCTAGAATATTCCTCTCCCTGGCTGAGTTTTAGGCAGGAGATGATCTAGTCACCCCCAACAACGTGACATCCCCTCAGGGATCCTCTGGGGAAGAACTCATTTTTATAGATGGGAAGACATGCTTAGTGGCAAGGACTGAGCTGGCCTGGTTAGTTGTCCTGAGTCAGCCAAATGGCCTGTTATTCCCGCGAGGCTGAAAAAGATGGGTATACCCAAGGTTTGGCTGAGCTTCCTGCTTCTAATCAGGCAGTGCCTTTCTACCTGGTGACTTTCACCTCCTGGGTGACTGTGAATGACATCCCCACCTCGGTGATCTGTGCTGTTTCTCAAAGATGTGCCTGGAGGCCCTGCATACCACTCTGCTGCCTAGCTGGTGGGTGTGCTGCCTGCCCAGGTATGAGGCTAGGGGCAGCAGCGAATTCCTGCTTACTCCTCTCAGCAGCCCTCCACTGATGATGTCCTGTCCCTATATTCCAGATGGAGAAGCTGCAACCCAGAGGGGCTGTGCTACCTGCCCAAGGTCACACAGCCAGGAAGTATGGAGGGACTGGGTTTGAGTTTAGACAGATCTGGTTCCTGGGGGCCGTCTCCAGGGCTTCCCCAGGAAGAGTGGAAAATATTCCTCCCCTGGGCTGGGGTTTGGCAGGAGATGGTCTAGTCGCCCCCACAGCCCGACACCCCCTCAGAGATCCTCTGGGGGCTCCATTATAGAGACAGACGCAGTCATGAACTACTGGGGAGAACTCAACTTATAGCCGGGAAGACTGAGCTGGCCCGAAGTGACCAGAGTTCAGCATTCTGTTCTCTAGCCTGGGACTCGGTCTTCTGCACCAGTGGATGAGGGGAAGGGACCTTGGGTGGATGGTGACATGACATGTGGATGTGGATTCAGAATCCCAAGATGCTGATGGTGTTGGGTTGGGACTTCTGGAAGAAGGGTCAGGTTCTGTCAGTCCATGGAGCAGAGAGAGCAGGCATGGCAGGTCTTATCTGTAGCCCTTGTGCCTTGACCCTAGACCACTGGCATACATCGGCATCGTGGCCTGATAAGGTTTAGGGATGCGGAGCCAGAGACCTCATGAGACAGTCTAGAAGCCGGTAACCTGACTGTACCTCTCTGTGTGACCTTTGGTCACTCAATTGCCCTCTCTGAGCGTAGTCTTTCCAGTCAAGTGACAAACTTCTGGAAAAAAAAATCTCATTGCCACCCCCTGTCCCCACCTCTCCCAAGTAACTGCCACTGGGCTGTGGTCTTTAAATGCTCCTCCCTCCTCATGAGGACCCTGGGCCCTGGAAGGGCCAGGCAGGACCCCTGGGGACTGGTATAACCTTTAAGCCTCCTCAGGCGGACTCAGTCTTCCTGGGGCTGGGGGGGGGGGGCTCTCCAGGCTCAGCCCTTCTTCTCTTTTTCATCTTTATTTTTCTCCTGCTCCCTCTTCCCTGGCGACGTGGGCTGATCGCTGCTCAAACTTTTAATTCACATGGTAATTGTAATAATAACATGGGCCGAGGCCCCTCTGCCTGTGACACTGCAGCTGGCGGAGCTCAGCTATGAATAGAACCTGAGTCACACACGCGCGCTCATGCAGGCGCGCTCTCCACTCATGGGTGGTGGGTGGGGTGAAGCGTGGGGGCAGGGGGCTCCCGCTCCCGCTGGCTCTGGATCCTGACCCCCTGCTTCCAAAGGCCTATGCAAGAACCGTCCCCACAGACTGCCCTCTGGTTCCTGGGTGAAGCTGTCACCCATAGGGCATGGTTACTTCTCCTTCACAGAAGGGGAAATTGAGGCTCCGTTAGGGAGCATGGCCGCTGGAAACCTGTGGGACTGGGCATGTGAGTTTTGGCTGATTCTGAGGTCATGGGGTTCTGTTTCAGGATACGCAAGCCAGGGGAATGGGGGGCTCTGAGGATAGGCTACTACCACTGTGGGTATCTTGCAGTCAGTTTTCTTACAGCCTCCTCCCACCTGCGTGTAGCAGGTGCGCGCA